TTGGATGTTTCCTGGAAAATGGTCAAGGAAGACTGCTTTGACTTGTTACGGACTTTAGGAAGCTGGGTTGGGCTCCTTCTCACAGCCTGGGTGTGCTCCAGCGCCCCGGGACTTCGCTTCAGCATGGTGTGGGTCTGAGCCCCAGCCACCAAACACAGCCAATGGGGCGAGCGAGTCCTCTCTGCCTCCTGCCTCGCCCTGGCTGCTGTCTCGGGGATACTTGGGGTGTCAAGTCTGTTTCCTGAGCGTTGTAGTGGTTTTTCCAAGAAAATCTATGTCCCTCCTGTCCATTCATCCTCAAACTCTCCTTATCCTGGGAACTTTCTGAGCAACTGCTGCTGCCTCATGCCTACACTGCCTCTCTCACCTAGACTGGGGAGCCCTCCGTCAATAGGATGGACAAACAGACTCAGAGGTTTTCTTTCATGTCCCACATCCCCACGCCTCTTTATGATAAGGGGAATTTCTGGGTCAAGGTACCACCAGGATCTGTAGGAATGCCCCCTCGCTTCCTGAACTGGGAAAAGTGGATTGAGGTTTGAGGATTGGAGCCCCAAAGCTGGAGTTGCTGGGAACTCCACCCTCTCGGAAGGGCGAGGAATTGGTCTGTTGGGTTACAGATGTGCCTCAGCTGGACTTGCACACCCCCCCCCCCGCAGCCCCCCCCCCCCCCCCCCCCCCCCCCCGCTTCCCTCTTCAGTGTTTATTGCTGCTCAGCCCCAAGGAGAGCTGCTGAGTCAGCGTTCTCTGGTGCGGCTAGCTCCTGGAACCAGGCTGTCCTGTATCTCTCACACTGTTCCTCCTTAGATAAACAGACTGGCATCCTCCACACACGACGAGGTTCTGATGTGGTTGCAAAGGGCTCCGTTAGCCAGATGCCTCTCTCTGGAAGAAGGGCCCTGGCAAAGGGCCCTGCTTTTCTTCCAGCCTGAGTCAGGCCTTTGCTGGAGTGACAGGAGAATCCACTTCCTGCCCGAAAAGGTGGCCTCGGCAGAGGTCCCCGCTGGGCGGAGCCTTCCTTCCTAGTGGCTCACCCACCCGGGCTTCCTCCTCACGGAAGGCCTGGGCAGGCCTGGGCACAAGGCAGCCCCCCTCCGCCTTTCATGTGCGCGGTTTATCTTTTGAATCCGGCCCTGCAGACTGGGCACCGACCAGCTTACAGGACCGCTTTGCAGCCTGCCTGGGCCCCCTGGGCGGGGTGACGTTTGAATTGTATATCAAACATGGTCCCAGATGTTTATTCCGCCCCTGCCCGCCCCTCTGAACACCGCAGCTCTGCGAGCCCCCCACACTGAGTAAACTCAGCTGGGCTGCCTTTATGTGGTTTGTTCTGGAGCCTGAACAAGGGGATTTGCTTTCTTTGAAAGGTGACCTGTGAGCAGAGAGAATGTCCCCGGCAGCTGGTAGGTGGTGGGCCTTGGGGATGACAGAGAGGGCAGACCCCGAGGCTCTGGGCTCAGAGTGGGGGTGGGATTAGTGACCAGGGGGGCGCGGCTCAGCACTGGAGAGCGAGGGGTGGAGGGAGGCAGACCAGCTGGGCACTCGTGGCTCTGTTGGCCTTGTATTCTCGGTGGAAGGGCTTGTTGTGGCCCTGGAGGGCCCAGTTGAAATCAGAGGTGGGGGAAGAGGAGGGTCTGTTACCGAAGAAGGAGAAGCCAGCTGCAAAGCATCCTCGGAGAGGCCTTCTGGGGAAAGCTCAGAGCTGCAGGGGTATCAGGTGACCCCTGCCTTCCAGGAGGCACATGGACCCATCGAGGGGATTCAGACTGCTCTTTAGTGGGAAAGGCACAGGGAACAGAACCGTCAACTCTGCCAAGCTGGCTTTTCCTCCTCCCGGAAGCCCTCCCTGACCTCTTCCTCCAGCTCCCATGTCCTCACTGAAATATGGTAGCAACCATACTTGGGTGAAAACTGCTGTTTGAATTTTAATCCTGCCATTTTGGTTCTGCTCCTGCTTAAACATAGGGTAGTTACCTCAGCTTTCAGGTGGAGACCTGGAGGGTAAGGCCTGGGACCAGAACTACAGGAGATTGATTCCCACTTGACTCAGTAGCTTCAGGGGTAGAAACTGTAGATAACCTTTAGACAACACTCATCATTCCCAGCCACTCCAAAACTTACCTGTCTGTCTCTAGCACCAAAGTGAAGGTTCACAAACTTCCGGGGGGGGGGGGGCAGGAAGCCACACCCTCCAGGTGACTCAGGCATGGGCAGCCTTCAAAGAACCATCTTGCTCTAGAGCAGCCTCTCCAAATAGAAATGTAATGTGAGCCACAGATGTAACCTTTCCTAGTAGCCACTTAAAAATGTAAAGCAGTTAAAATAATTTCTAAAGTATTTTTTCATTTAAGCAAAATATCATTCCAACATGCAATCAATACACAAATCGTTAATGAGGTATTTCACATTCCTTTTGTGTGTGTATGTTTTTTTTTTTGTTTTGTTTTTTTTTACTGTCTTTGAAACCTGGCTCCCGCCCAGACCTACTGAATCAGATCCTCATTTTATTTATTTTTTTATTTACTTGTTTGTTAATCCTCACCCGAAGATATTTTCCCATTGATCTTTTAGAGAGAATGGAAGAGAGAGGGAAAGACAGAGAGAAATATCCATGTGAGAGAAACACATTGATTAGGTGCTTCCTGCATGCACCCTGACCAGGGCCCAGGCTGGGGAGGCGCCTGCAACCATGGTATGTGCCCTTGACCAGAATCAAACCTGGGACCCTTCAGTCTGCAGGCCAGTGCTCTATCCACTGAGCCAAACCAGCGAGGGCACAATTATTAAGGTTTGAGAGGTGGCCTTACCACATTAGGGTTTGAAAATTCATGAGCCAGCTTTTCTTCAATTTCAGTCTGTATTCAAGGAAGTGAAAATTAATAATGGTGCAGTCTCTGTTTTGTTTTGAATGGAATCCGGCAGTGACCCGCCCTTCACGTGTGGGCTCCAAATAGCCTGTGTATGTTGGGTAATGATTTGTGCAGGAGAGAGTCCTACAGTCCTGTGAGAGCTGGATGGGTGGGTGGGTGGGTGGGTAAGGGAGCGGATGGATGGATGGGTAGGGGTATGTGTACGTGCGCACACACGTGACATTGAGCATAGGACCACGTTCACCACCTCCAGTGCTAGCACTTTGACCCAAGCCACTATCAACAGGATCCTAACTGGTCTACCTGCTTCCACTCTGTGGCCCATTCACTACCCTGTAGCTCAAGCCTTCCTCTTCATGATCTGGCCTGTCCTGCCTCTTGAGTCTCATCGCATATACCTCGGCCCTCGCTCGCTCCTCTCCAGCCATGCTGGCCTTTTCAGGCCCTTTGCACGTCCTGTTTCGCCAGCTTAGACACATCCTGTCCTTCTCAGGGGCCCTCCCCTCCTGCGTGGCCTGTGATCTCTGCTGACCTGCTGTCTAACACGCCTTTCTCACCGCCCTGTATAAAAAGTAACAACCAGCCGAAACCGGTTTGGCTCAGTGGATAGAGCATCAGCCTGCGGATTGAAAGGTCCCAGGTTCGATTCCGGTCAAAGGCATGTTTCTTGTTTCGGGCACATTCCAAGTGGGGGGTGTATAGGAGGCAGCTGATCAATGTTTCTAACTCTCTATCCCTCTCCCTTCCTCTCTGTAAAAAAAATAAATTAAAAAAAAAAAAAAAGTAACAACCAGGTTTTTCGTCAACACTGTATCCTAATTCCTGTGTCTTCATAGCACACCTTCCTCTCCCAGAACATGTATTATTTGTTTACTGTTTGTCTCCCTCCACTAACATGCAAACTCGTTGAGGCCAGAGGCTTTATTTCTCTTTGCTGTCCTTTTGTTAGTGTCCAGTGTCCCAAGTTCATGCTCAGTAAATATCTGAAGGAAGGCATGAACTTCAGGTGTCATGTGACTGATCTTCCTCCTTTTACCAACAAGGAGCCTGCGGGTCAACTCGGGGAGCTCCAGGCTTTGCTCAGGTCACAGGGCTGGGTCCCCAGAGCAGGCTAGCCCTGCCTTCTCCGCGCCTGCCCGCGCCTTGGAGGGAGATTGACCACATGCACCGGGGACGGGGACGCCACCGCCGCGGCCATCCTGTCTCCTGTGTGTTTTTCCAGTTTAGACAGCATTTCAGTCCAGAACAGCAGAAGAAAAAAAAACACATTGCTCCTCCTGAACCCTGGAAACTCTTCCAGTGGGTCTGCCCCTGGAAAAACAGCAGCGACCTCAGGGTGGGAAGGTAGGAAATGGAGGAGGGGGCTCTTCCAGCCCTGAGGACAAGGGGCCAGATTTGGTTTTGCAATTAAAGCAGCATCTGGGTCTGTTTCCGCAGAGCGGGCTCTGGAAGGTGGGTGTAGCTGGAGTGTCAGCCAGGGCCTTCCGCTCTCCTGGCCCAGGAGGGTTTGAGGTGGCAGGTGGCTTAAGGGCTCACTCAGCATATGACATCAGGAAACTGGGCCCAGCCAAAACCAGTTTGGCTCACTGGATAGATCGTCGGCCTGTGGACTCAAGGGTCTGGGGTTCAATTCCGGTCAAGGGCATGTATCTTGGTTGTGGGCACATCCCCAGTGGAGGGTGTGCAAGAGGCAGCTGATTGATGACTCTCTCTCATCGATGTTTCTGACTCTCTGTCCCTCTCTCTTCCTCTCTGTAAAAAAAAAAAAAATCAATAAAATATATTTTTTAAAAAGAAAAAAAATGGGCCCAAAGAAGTCTCTGGAAACCTCACTTGCAGCCTGGCCCGAAGGTCTGTTGAGCCCTACCCTGGTCTCACTCAGTGGCATCTCCTGACACCTACCCCTGCCCCCCTCCTGCCCTATCCCTCCTTGAGATTGCTCAGACACCGCTTTGATGCATAGAGAGCTCTGGCCTCCTCCCTCTCACGCCCCATATGGGTTGGAAATTGTCTGTGAAATGAGAGATTTGAGGTGTCACTCATCCGTGTGAGGACAGTGGAAGGAGTGGGGGAGGGTGCCGAGGGCCGGTCCAGTCTTCTGAATCCCGTTTCCTCTGTCTGGCTCCTCAGATGCAGCTTTTGGATAAGTTTCCCATCGAAGGTGGACAGAAGGACCCCAAGCAGAGGATCATACCCTTCCTCCCAGGTAAGCTCCGCAGGCCCTCTGGTGGGATGGGGGCAGCCTGGGGAGGGGCAGCCCTCAGGCCAAGGAGAGGCTGGCTGCGAAGCCAGACACTCTGGGCAGGGCAGGCCTGGGAAGCTGCCCGTCAGCCAGTCCCCAGGGGGTTGGGAGTCCCTGATGTTGAAGGCCCACTGTCCTCACAGGGGCCTCACCTGCCATCCCAGGGCCATCTCTGGCCCGGGGTCATGTAATGTCCCAGGAGTTTCTCAAGCTCTTGGGCTTTGGGTCCTTTTTACAAAAAGCACAGAGATCGAGTTCTCCCATGAAAGGATAAAACACTGCAGGCCTCACTCTTGTCACTGGGTCCCATGGTTACCACGGAGAATCTTACATGGAGCACCCTTTCCTGTCTGATCCCCTCCATCCTCCCGGCACCTCCTTGGTGCCCAGCCTGGCCCTGCGCTGCTGGGAGGGGACTGGGAACACCCAACCCCCGGGTTTGTAATGGCCTCACGTGTGGCGCCCGGAGAGTCCAGTGTTCTGCCCGCGAGGGGCCTGAGAGCCCTGCTGGGATGCTGTGGTCACAAGGGTCCCAGGACCAACACGAAGCCAGCGGGTGCCCTGGTGCTGGGCGTGAGGAGCAGCCAGTGCTCCAGGGGAAGGGTGCCTCATCACTGTTCCATCCGTGGGTGTTGATGAAGGGCTCAGCCTATGCCAGGCCCAGGACTAAGTGCCCAGGGCGGGGCTGGGGTGGCCTGGTAGATCAGGGGAGATGTGGTCTTATTTCCGTCCTCTCGGGAATCCTCAAGCCAGCGAGAGAGACAAGGATGTCTACTCCCCAATTAGGGAACCAGTTGAGACAGGATGTGACCTTCTCTGCGCTGTGCAGTCCCGGTGTTGATTGGAGCGGGAGGTCATTGTGCATGGAGGAAGGCACCCCTGGAAGCGGGGGCCCTGGAGCTGACCTGGAAGCCCGGGTGGGGTCGGAGGGTGGGGTGAAGCGCACGCTTCCGTCCTGCTGCTGCCATAGAGTCCGGTGTCTCGGGCGTCAGATTGCCTGGCTTCGCCCCAGGAAACCCTGGCTCCGCCCTGGAAACTCTGGCTGTGGCGGTCCAGTGTTCTTTATGCCTCTCGGTTTCCTCATCTGGGGCTGTTGTAAGGGTCAAATGAACATTCAGGTGCTTACAAGTATATAGCTTGCCTCCAGTAGGACCTTAAAAAAAAAAAAAAGCCTTTATTATAACCAACTCCTACCTGTGCCCAGCATGTTACACAGCTAACTTGTTGGATCCTCCCAGGGAAGTTATATCCCCATTTTACTGACTAGGAAATCGAGGCCAAGGGAGACTAACAGACGGACACAAGCTGCAAAGCCAAGAAGTATAGCCAGCACCAGAACTCTCATCTCTGACTTCTGGGCCAGGGCTGCCCTCCACACCAGCTACCCCAGGAGAGATAACCCGACAGCTGCTGCCCGACCAGGGGCCTCCCTTATGGGTACTCTTAATGGGATTGTGGTGAGGATGAAAAGGATTCATGTAGCCCTAACCCGTTTGGCTCAGTGGATAGAGCGTCGGCCTGCGGACTGAAGGTTCCCATGTTCGATTCTGGTCAAGGGCATGTACCTTGGTTGCAGGCACATCCCCAGTAGGGGAAGGGGTGAGCAGGAGGCAGCTGATGGATGTTTACCTCTCATCAATGTTTCTAACCCTCTATCCCTTTACCTTCCTCTCTGTAAAAAAAAATCAACAAAAATATATTTAAAAAAAAAAGATTCATATAAAGCGCGTTGCAGGGTGCCTGCCCTGTAGGAAGTGCTCCATAAAGGCCGCTGCCCCATTGCTTCCAAGTCCCATGCCTCCAGTTCCCCTTGCCCCTGAGTTCAAGGGGCCCAGATGAATGTCTGCACACTTAGCGGGGTACCTTACAGGAGAGTGCCCGGAGCCTACCGGACAGCTCTTGTAGCGGAGAGTAAGCAAACCTACCCCTCTGCTCTGGAGGAAGACACTCTCCCGGTCTCCCCAGGCAAAGGCACTGAGACAGAGGCACTGAGACACTGCCTCCGTCATCCAAGGCTGTTTGCTGTGCAAACACCTTTGAAAGATAATCCAGAGCAAAAGGCAGTTAGCGCCCTGCTGACAGACATACAGAAAGGAAGGGAGCCAGGAGAATGCTCTCACAGCCAGTGGACCCTGTGCTTGCTGGGGCCTCCCGCTCTGTGGGTGGGAATGAAGCTCTTTAGGACGCCGGGCTCAGCATGCTGCGGTCAGCCGCCTCTCCGCGCAGCCTGCTGTTTACATAGAACGTTCTGCCTTGTCTTAAAAGACCATTGTGGAAAATCCATCTCCTGTTGCCCATCCTGGGATTGGAGTCGATTTCCTGTGTATCCTGAGTTTGCCAGTCCAAGGAGGCTCCCTGGGAGGAAATGGTCATTGCAGAGGGAGCTAACGTGTGTGGCGGCTGATGTAAAAAGCAAACAACTGCGACCGGGGCCCCAGAGACGTCAGAAGCCGGGCAGTGGAGCGGAGAGGGGTGAACTCACTCTGCCACGGCTGTGCGAGCTTTCCTCCCTCCACAGGCCGACTGTGTCCCCGGGCTGGCCCGGTCGGTCCCCTTGAGCTGCCAGAAAGCCCCCTCACCCCGATAGCCGAGTCAGTCCCACCCAGACGGGTGTGTATTCCTGGGTCGATGAGGCGGGGAGAAACTGGCTAGCTTAGGAAGAAAAGTGAGCCCACAGCCACGGTCAAGGTGGGTGCTGTCAGCCTGCAGGCAGCCTCGTGACCTGTGCTCGGAGGCATGTATTTTTAGACGGCAGGCATGCTCGGGTCTCTGTGCCAGCTCACCCGTTTACACACCAGCTCCTTCATGAAGCATCTGTGTGGAGCCACAGTGCAGGGGGGAGCTGGGAGGATTGTTAGCAGGGTCTACAGGGCCTTCCTCTCCCTGCCCCCCGAGCCCCTTGCAGCAGATCCGGTGTTTGTTCCAGGGCAGAAGGAAGCAGGGGGGAAGGGATGTCTTTAGTCAGAGCTGGTCCGTGGTGTGGGGAGAGCTGGCCCTCTCCCTGGGCCATAGGCGTTTCTGCGAATCTCCACCAGATGCCCGCGAGGGAGCCCTCCCTGAACTGGCAGTTACTGCACCCCCCCAGGGGCGGGCTGGGAGATCTCTGAGCCCCACGGATGACCTCTGACGGTAGGAAAAGACAGGGCCTGCGTGATGGAGAAAGAAAAACAGCGTCTGCCGGTAATGCCAGGGTTTAGAAAAGATTGACAAGATTACAGGCCCGAGAGGCACCGTGTGCTGCTTTCAAAGCGACTGCCTCTGACCTCTTCTGCCGACGCCGGGTCTTCTCTTGCCGTAATTGCTGCCCCCAGCCCCCCAAATCACTCTCTTGCTCTGTAATCTGGGGCGGGCGGCTCTCAGGGCGGCTGTCGGCAGCTGGCCTTGAACGCTATGTGGAAGCGTGTCCATTCCTGCCCGAGGTGTTGACTGAGCACGTGCTTTGTGCCGGGCCCCGGCTGCGGCCACGGATGGCGTCACTGGGAACAAGTTCGACCGGGGCGCCCTTCTCAGGAAGTTCGCCTCGCAGTGGGGAGCGGAGAGCAAACAAACTCCGATAGTGATAACATCCAGAACGTAAAATAACCAAGTCACGCGACAGGAGATCAGGTGGTCAATAAAAGGCCTTTGTGCAGAGATGACACCTGAACGGAGCCAGGCCTGGGCAGATCAGGGCCCCGCGTGTCAGGCTGAGGAGACAGCATGGATGGTGACCTGAGGGTGATGGAGGGCGTGCGTTTGAAGAACAGCAACAAGCGATGAAGCGGGGCTGTGAGGGGCTGGTGCATACGGCTCCACATGTGTGCCTATGCTGTGCGATGCTGGCCCCATGAAACAGCTTCCAGGGCCAGTCTCTTCCTCTGTCAGATGGGATCACTGTGGTTCAGGATGACATTCCTCCCAAGCAGTTAGCACGTGGACAGCGCTGTGTGAGCTGCACGGGGAGAGGCGTGCTCACGCAAGCCTGCCCGTCCTTCCCGGTGGCTCTGCTGCGGGACACACATGCGGGGTTTCCTTTCCCTGCCCTCTCTGTTGATTCAGCTTTTCCCCGCCGCCGCATTTCCTCCCAGCCACGCTTCTTGCTTCTTCTTCCTTGCCTGTGGCCACTTGCAAAGCAGCCAGGAGCTTGTTTCTGAAGAGCTGATGACTCAGACGGCTGACCGAGGCTGAGCAGTGGGGTTGTGACCCGAGTGTGACAGAGGCTGTGTGAGGCCCTGCCCCTTCGCCTGATAACACAGCAGCAGGGGCACCAGCATCGCAGTCCTCGGCTCCAGGCTGCCAGGCCTCGCTGGGAATAACCGGCTTTGCAGGAGGCAGCCACTCAGGAATCCGTTTACTTTTGGAAGTGAGTGGGGGTTGGGCCCCTTAGCCCTGCCCCGTGTCGTCCCACGGTTCCGGGCCGGGAAAAGAGTCAGATCACTTCCTTACAACGTGCTCTGTGCCTTCCTGAGCCAGGGAGACTTCTGGAAGGGAATCAACCTCTTAAACACCCACCCCAAATCCTCAGGCCTGAATGGAGCGTGTGCTAGGACAGGGGTCGGCAAACCCATGCGTCGACAGAGCCAAATATCAACAGCACAACGATTGAAATTTCCTGAGAGAGCCAAAACGTTTAAACTATATAGGTAGGTACATTGTTATTAACTTAATGAGGGTTCTCCTAAGCTGGCCTTTGCTAAGAACTCAAGGGGCCCAAGAGCCGCATGTGGCTCGAGAGCTGCGGTTTGCCGACCACTGTGCTAGGTATCTTCCCCAAGAAGCCTCTGATGTAAGCAGAAACGCATCTTTTTTCGAGGTCTCAGCCCATTTAATTAACATGCAGAAAAACGCGCCCTGGACTGCGTTCCAGCGTACTGGATTCGGTGTAGCTCTTGCTAATTGCTGTGGCACAACAGTGAATAAGGTAAATTCTAGCAACCAGGAATCCCTTGCATGTTGGCAGTATCCCCAGATCTCAGTGATTTCAG